GAATTTCGAATTTAAATTTGAAAAACATCATTATTTCGATACTTCTAAAGGGAGTCTGGTAGTCTGTCAGTTGTTCGAGTCTTTTTATTTTTTGCAACTCGGGCCAACAGTACAGAGTAACATGTTCAATTTACATATTTCAGCATCCAAAATTGAAGTATCATGTATCGTACAATAGATTCATTAAAGAAACTTTTATAGAAACGTTATATTTAGAATTTTTACAGAGCTTAATGTGAGATCCGCGAGATAGTTTTGTGAGGTCGCCGACTTTTGGGGCAATGCGTTAATTGCGCGTCAGGAAAACCTAGGGTCAAACCGTATGTGGGTGGTGGCGGTAGGAGACAAAGATAACAAGTGTCTTACACGAACACCGTTTATTTTGAGATAAGGTTAACTCACATAATGACAATAACAATGCGATCTAGATCGGCTTTGGTGGGAGCTCCTTGATGTCGATGAACGGGCGCTGACTGGTGTTCCGGGCTTGACAGAAGAGTGTCCGTTGCACAGGTGCCTCTGTCCGGTGATGTTGAGGATGCATGCAGATTTTGGTCACTGGTGGAGAACCTTGTCCGGGTGGAACCTCCGAGGATTGGCTGCGAATCGGCTCGGAGAGAAGCGGCTGAGAATATCCCTGCTGTCCTTGAGATTCGGGGGTTTTATAAGATTTTCCTCGAATCTTACCCTTTTGATTGGTCCCGTTCACCCTTTCCCTTACACCGATTGGTCCCGTTCACCTTCTCCCTTACCCCAATTGGTCATTTTTTTGTTTCTAGGCAAAACTTGAGACCGATCCGGGTCGGGAAAAGGTCGGAGAGGTGATGACAAAGCTTTTAATGTTCGCGCTCGTCGACCCGACACTTGTTCGCGAGCATCTCGACAAAGCTCTTTCTCTCTGATGCCATTCCCCCGTTGTTTATTATCGCGTCGCTTTTGTTTTACGATTCGAAAAAAGTTTTCGTCTCATCTGGGTTCTGTCATTAACACACCTTCTTGATTCGATTCTATCTTCGAACTTTTCTGACGGTAAAGTTTGTAATTAGTCGTAATTTCGACGCGCTTTTACGATCCTCACAGTTTTTTATTAATATAAAATAATTTTAAATTATTATTATCGAAAAGAACATTTTAAACAAAAAAAAATGTGACACCCGTCAATTTCCAAGAAAATGGATGTTGAACTTCCTTCACACGGCCGACTCGCTGATGAATCAGTTTTGCACACGGTGCAGGCGCTTGCAGAGCGGTCTATAAATAGAGGCTTACAAAACAGGCGATGAAACAGTAGATGGGTTTTACTAACTCCGTATTCCCGGATAACCTCTCACATCTGTGTTTAAGAGATTTTTATTAATCTAAATTTAGATTAATAAACGAGTTAATTGGGCCCTGTCTGTCTTTCGGATCAAGTTCGCTAGATTCATTTATAGAAGAATAAACATAAGGTATTATTTTTTATAATTAAATGTTAAATGATTTCGTGCGAAAAATATTCATAATACTTCTGTATTCTGTGAACTGTATATCACATAATAAAGATATTTTAGATGAAGGTATAATATTTTATTTCATTTAATTGAAATTAAAAAGCGTTACAATATTTCTGTTGGTAGACAATAAAAAGTCGTTGAAATTATTTTCCGTTGCATGTTTTCTTAGGAAGGGGCCAAACCACTGCTTGTTCGTACAAGTGTGTGCACCAGCACCCAAAGGCGTAGCAATAGCCGCCACTACCTTTTCCGTACTGCTGTTTGCATTCCCTCAGGCAATAATCGTTATCTCCCAATTTAAAACATTCGTATTTGCAGCCCGTGTAATTATTTACAATATAACCTTCCTTTGCCCAGATTGTTCCTGCAACAAATACAAAGAAATAGTCTTCTTCAACCGTAAGAAATAATACTTATTAATACAATAAAATTAAAATATTTAATGCTTTGCACTCAAATGTGTCAAAAAATTACATTATTATTGTACCACATGAAGTATAAAAACCGAAAACAGTCCTGATTATAAATGTGCTATTTTAAACACTAGCGTGATGATGTGTCACTTGCTATTAGCGACTTATCGAGCCAGGAAAACGACATTATAATGAAAATCTTGACGATGCAATTTCTTGTAAATCTGAATTAATGATGTTATTCTATTAACCCACTTCTCTCAAGTTAACGGATAGATTGACTGCAAATGCTTAGACAATTCTATAAATCAAAAAGGAATTACTAAACTATAATAATTGCCCCTCATTTAGACAGGTCAACATATTCATACTTAAATAAAAAGACTATCACTGGTCAAGTAGAAACACAATTAAACTGATTTACTTTACAGGTCTAACTCTTAAATAAGAGATTAAAGTAGTAGAGTAGTAGAGAATTGATATTGAAATAATGGAGATTAGTGACTCGTAGAATATCCCACTGACAAAAATACTTTCTTGGCAGATTGCGGTTGTTTTGCATTGCCATTCACGAATTTAGTGCAGATCTCATAATACATAAATAATTCAACTTTAATAGAATTTATGGCATTTCGATTAATTTAATACATATCGTTGTAATTTTCAAAATACAATATAATGTAACAAATGTAACGCGAATTTCATAACTTTTTAACAAATGATGCCATTTAAAAAATTAAGAACCAATGTCATCAATTAGAAGTTTATACTCACCGACCAGGGCCAAACAAGCAGTGATGATCAACAACGAGTTCATCTTCGATGGTATCTAAACGAGTTTAGAATGAGTTACCACGAGCAGAAGTCGATATTTATACACATCCAATGCAAACAGGTACAACGCGTGCACGTGGATTCTAGATATTCGATCCATCTGTTTCGATCAATTATAACTACATTAATGAGCCATTAAACAGAGAGGTCACATCTTCAACTTTCTTTATTTGCAGAAGGAATTAAATTCGTACCGAGACAGAAATGTTTATGTGATAAATGAATGTCATTAAATTTTTTAAAATAAAAATCACTTATTTTACTTTAAGTCGAACAAGTTCCTGGAACACTTCACGATATTTTAGATATTTCATATTTAGTGGCATGTAATAATATCTTGTGATTTTCTCGTTTGATCGACACCACTAACCTATCTTTTGTCAAGGATTTTTTCAAAGTCTGCATACATGAAATATTTCAGGTAATTATCGACAAAGATACTTGAAAACAACGAAAGTAAAGATTTAAACATTAAATCTCTTCCTCTAAAGAACTTCAAACTTTTCTATTAAGTGTTGCAGTTTATGTAGAATAAATGAAAATAAGTCGAAGTATTGATTCATCAGGATAATACAGAGCGAGAGAGGAGTCATATGTTAAATATATATCTTTAGTAAAGACGAATTTAATGTAAATTTTTATTTTTTATTAACATTTGCAATATTTTGAAAAATTATGTCTCTTTGTAATAATTAATAATATAAAAATGACTTGTTAGTAAAATCCATAGCTGTGGAGTCGGAGTCGCAGTCGTGGAGTTTTGGTGTTTTAAATGGAGTCGGAGTCGGATTACACAGATATTTTTCAAACCCAAGTGACGCTAAGCTTAATGAAAAAAAGGAATATTTGTTGAACATTAGATCAGAAAATTAATACAAGATTTTCAATTTGGTCAAAAATTGAGTGACGATAAANCCGTGAATAGACCGTCATACACGGTCAAGAGATGATTGCTTCTGATTAACACTGCAGTGTTTATGATACATAAAACGGTGGAAAGAAGCAACTGAAAACGATATAAATAAAATGGATAGAAATATATATTTTACACAATCACGAAATACACGAAGAAAAAAAAACAATACTTCTTACAATACGTATAACTAACAATACGTGTAACAATAAGTATGACTAACACCAATCACGTATCATTTTTTCCTTATCTTATTATATTAATTTACTAACTTTAAGTAATTCGAACTAAACTCTAAAGTGTGGTGGCATATTTCAATACTTACTTTGTAAATTCGAGAAACTGAATTAAACAAGTAGAAAAGATAAAATTCGAATACTAATTTCATAAAATGATCCAAAGAGTCCATCTTGTAAACAGCTCAAAATTAACCTCGTTGACAAAATTCACACGAAACACTCCTTGCGGTATATGCCAGCAGAACAATGCCATCCACGTGTTTCCAGGAATGTTCAAGACTTTTCGAGACATGAGAGATACGGCTTTTTGAACACGTCTGGAACTGACCTGTCAGTTAACTAATTAACGTTCTCCAGCAGTAAGTACCAGTAAACTACGAAAATACATACAAGCAATTTTTCGGGACACCGTTCAAAGCCTTTTCAATTTATTGCCACGACTTACAGCAACTCTCGAAGACGTTACAAAATACTGATTTCATCAATTAATAGCTATTTTATTGTTCTGAAAATGTAACCTCTTATGTACAGTGATATCAGTAATGTGTTGTATAACTTTCATTCTAATTGAATAATCATAGTGTTGCAATTTTCACAAACACTAATGTACAATGCAAGTAGATGGCCAAATTGCGACATGGTCAAGTTTTTAGCCTACCGCTCAATGGAATTAGAACGAATCCGAAAAAACCTCAGAAACTTATGGAATTGATCCATCTTCGTTATTTCCGGTCCCATTACTCACCACCCTGCTTCTCTATTGTAAGCCTGGCCGATTGGGCTTGGTGAAAAAGCCCTTATTCTGTCCACAGAGTTGTGTGAGGAAAACAATTTGCATAATTCGACGACTTAGAAATATAAATTAAATAATCTGTCAGGAAATAAGTAACGTAAACAAAAATTTTCACAGGAATCTTAAGTTGCTCCGGATAGGTATTGTACGAAATTTTGTAATTATTCCCGATAAAAATTTTTCTAAAATTATTTTGTAATTTTATAAAAAAAATACTTTTCAGAATATAGCATGAATGTTGATTATTCGCTTAACATAAATTTAAAATATTTCTATCAATTCCAGGAAAATTTTAAATCAATTATGACTAAAGCAATAATGATCTGAGAAAAAATAAAATTATATTTTTGCATAATTTTACCTCGTAGGCGTATAAAATCATCGTATGCTTCTCTCTTTTGAGAATAAAGTACGAATTTCGTCAAACCACGTAATTTTTAAACTATTTACACAATGGAGTTTGAAGATCATTTTATTCGATTATTATTCGAATTTTCATTTTTTTACATATTTAATTCGGGGTCTCGACTTGACAATGTAAGTATTGAAATGTGCCATAACATTTTAAGTAATGTAAACTAAATTTTAAGCTAATATATTAATGTAGTCAAAAGGAAAGAAAAAAATAAAAGAGCGAAGGAAATAATTTGTGGTTGGTTTTAGTTACACAACTTCTATATGGTATAAGTATTGTTACTGTGTCATATGTTAGTAGTCGTTTTATTTTTTCTATATTTGCGATTTCTATGATTATCTTATTATTGTCTTGTGTTACTCGCAACGTGTGCTTTGAAGTTACAGAAACTTTTCAGTTTGCCACCCCTTTATTTCCAGAGAAAAACTATACGGATGATGAACACTGCACAGACATTAAAAGCATGTTTTTTCAATATGAAATATATATTCAACTAAGGAAAACTAATTTCATTAAAATCTTTTTCCAGTATGCTGTCACCACTATTTTATCTGTGATCAACATTATATTGTTCATCAAAAGTGAATATCTCTTCACTGAATTCGATAGTATTTTAATGGTACAAGTTTTCTTGCTGTTCTCGGTGACTATTTCATTACTGTGGATTACCGAAATATTGAGACGGATAAAGTAAGTTGTTTTTTTGTTTATTGTATTTGATTGATGATTTTGATTTATTATTTGAATTAACTTTTTTTTATTTTAGGGATATACTTTTTAATTCTAAGAAGTCTGGTCATTGTCATCGTTTATTTAATATAGTTCTGATCATTTTTCAAGTTTCTATCTTTCACGTTACATTATACCAGACTTTTAAAGGTTTTTCCAAACTTTCCAAATGAAGAATGCAACCGGAAAATTGATTGTTAGACGGGAACGTACAGTTGTAACCCTCTTTTAGAAAGAAAGAATGTTGTCACAATTTACGATTCGAAATAGTTGTGGAGAATTTTTAGACGAATTCTTCTTAAAATGAATGTTTGAAATTTGACAAACGTTTTTGTTGTAGCGCGTTTTATCATTCTTGTAAGTACAGTACATAGCTCCAATGTAGCATAGGAGCTTTTTATAAATGTATCTAATGAAATTTTAAGACAAATGTTTTATAGCACTTATTTTAAAATTATTTGGTGGCTTATGTGTCTGTATTCATTGTAAGTATAATAGTTTCTCACAGAACGTTTGTACTGTCAAATTATCTCGACACTAAATAAAACTGGCATATTACACATCTCATGCAGTGTATATGAAATTTAAGATCGATTATAAAAAGTTCTAACGAAACGAAACTGTTCATTAACCACTATATACTATAGTATATAATAATACTACCGTTCACTTTTAGAATTTATTTCAAATTTTCTAATTAGGGTAAATTCTCTGGCTTCACATATGTGAGTGGAGAGTCTGCACCTGGAATGTATGACCCATTTACATCATACATTCAAAAAATACTCTTGATACATTAATTAATAATAAATAAATTCTAACATTTACTAATTTCTTTTGTATATGTAAATGCAGTTTAACACATTTGAGTTCATTTTGATACGTGCTTCTTGTCCTTTATTACTTATACACTCACTGGCCAATGAATTAAAAACCCCTTGCATATTTATTAAAAGTAATTTTGCAGCTTATGTGCAAAACACTTGAGTCGTATGTGTCACAATGTGTTCAGAAGCTCCTATTTAAGAATGCTGCTGCTAAATATAGTCATTAAGTTTATTAAAATTGGAAAGGCGAAGGACTTGACAGTTTCAAAAAGGGCTAATTATAAGTACCCGTTTCCCTGGAAACATGATTTTAAGAACTGTACAGCTGACTGGTTTTTCCAAAGACGAGTTATCCCTAGTGTTTAAAATAAATGAATTAGCCCATTTTTTATCATGTTATTCTCCATGTTATTTTATATAGCCTTTGAAAAATTTTGTTATTATATATCTATTTATTTTTATTTATCTAGATTTAGTTTACACTGAAAAAATTAAACAAATAATTTAGAACTGCATATTTGAGATGTTTTATTAATGTGAAATTATATATTACTATTTTGAATTTAAGTAGATTTGAAATATTATAACTAAATTAAACACCAGAACACTTGCTGAGATTACTGCAATTTAATATTCAAACTCTTTCAGCCTATTTTTATAAGCCATCCTCAGGAAATTATAGTTCCACAAACGAATACAAAACTTTGACATTTAGTATTGTTATAGAAAAGATTTAATACTAGGCCGGAGAAAGTGGCGAGATCAATAGTACAGTGCTTACATTTGGAAATGAAAAGGATATAAACAGATTGTGACTTATTACTTTTTTAAAAGTGATAATGGATTATACGTCTGAAATCAGTGGGAGCATCAGAAATGATTTTCCATGATATTTCGATGGCATATCGAGTAGTAATTTCTTGATGTATTAATTATTTTACCGTATTTCTTTTTGGATCTAAAATGTATGACAGATACTCAGAATATGTTCAACTAACATTATGTATAAATTTTGTATATTATTATTTTACTTCACTAATCGACAATAATTAATTATTGAATAGTGCTTGTGTTTAATGTGTCTGGAATTTCATTGGAAAAGCTAAGAACGTTGTCTAAAAAGCTAAGGAAATTTAACAAACACGCCTCAATATTAATATTAATGTAGTATTATTATGTATATGACATAATAATTTAAACTGGTAATTCAAGGAATTTTTTGAATCGTGACCCGTTTCAGAATTTTTAGGCCCGGTTGTGGATCCAGAAGTATCAAAGCAAAGCTAACTCGAAAATTAAAATATTTAAATAACTAATAACGTTATTTAAATAATATTTAAATAACGTTTTGACTAAATACAGTAGAGCGTCGATTATTCGAAAGTCAATTATCCGAAACGTCAATTATCTGAAAGAATTCAGTTGGGAAATTTAAATTTTTTCCAGTGCTGTGGCGCTGCAATCTTTGGCTACGTCTTGGGATACTCAAATATTTTACGTTTTTGATACTAAATTAACTTCTGAAGTATAATTTTTTTATTGTTTTTATATTTTTCAATATATTTATTTTCTATCAAATAAAAAAATAATTTTTAACGATACAATTGTCTTTGTTAGGCTTAACATCGAAAAAATTCAACGCGAAGCGACACGCAACGAAAAAATTTCAACATGGGGTAAATTAGTACGTTTTTCGTACACGATCGGTAATCCGAAAAATAAATTATCCAAACAACCTTAGTCCCCAATTGATTCGGATAATCGACGCTCTACTGTAATTGTGTACTTATAAATATAATATTTCGTTAAGCAGGTTAAATAACCAAAAATACTATTTATTCAATTCATCTACATATGCATTTCGAATTTACGTAAACTCTAACCTTCTTCAGTGTTGTATAGCGTACTTTTTACGTATTCTTAGAAAAACAATAAATACTTATTTATTTCACCAGTAAGACAATTGCACGGAATTTATAAAGTTTCTTATCATTTCCAATGCACTGTACTTAACATAAGATTAATATATGCTAAGATTATTCTGTTATCGTGTTTCGATCCCTTTTTATTGATAAAAATCTTTATTTAATAAAGATTTTTATCAGTAAAAAGGTTGTGAATGTATATAAAGGTTAACATTATTAACATTTGAAACAATAGCAATTAGTACAATCAATGCAGTTTCAATTTAAGAAAACATGACAAAAAGTCTGTAGTAAAAAATAATTGTAAACAGATTTATTAAATACTTGTAATTAGTTTATCCGATGTGATATATGAAAAGTGTACAGTTCACTCTTCTGAACAAACCATATATCGCGGCTTCGGTTTTCTGCTTGCCAGTGGAAGAAGCAGAAGATAAGAGAATAACAATATTTTCTCATATATATTCCATTTTCATCATTTTAAGTTAAAAATAATCTCTAATATTTTAAGTTTTCGTTTAGACAAAAGACTTTTCTTAAAATATGATCACAGTCTGTATAAAAATTTGACGCTTTCTTCAATTTTACTAATCCAGAAAACGGAAAATGTAGAGATGGAGCTATCTACAAATAAAAATACAATGGTCTCTTTCTATGTCACGATAGTTTCAATTTTTTATAGTTTAAACAAAATTTTGTCATAGAAACTATTCAAAATACAATAGATGCATTCAGTGCACGTCGATCTAACTCTACTATGTACTTTCAAACAAAAGATAAAAATAATGGAATGCTCTACACTAATTAATACTTTCATTACACAAAATTTAACCTCTTGGGATTAACTACTGAAAAAACTATTTTTTTATTGAAGTTTTGTTATGCTTTTGACCTTTAGGTGTCACTTATTAGTAAATTGTTTTTCTAAATTTTTTTTGTTCTGGTCATTAAAAAATGTATGTGTCATATATGACACAATGGTTCTCTACCTATACAAAATTCAAACTTTTCCGTTCATGTAAAAATGGTTTATTTGACTGTTTTTGTACATTATTTGACATTTTATATTTACATATGATATGCTTTGAAACAATTTTTATTTTACTAAGGCACAGATGTATTTTGCAGTATATACAGTACATTGTAGCTCATACACTTTTACATTTTTACATTGGGCAGTGGTAATTTTTGCAATTTACAATGATTTCTGGCATGTGTTTTGCTTCACTTTTGCATTGTATTGCACTGGGATGCAAAGTTAAAGTATTTTTTGTATAATTTTCTTTTTTTTCGTCATTTTTATTGATCCCTTTTTTCTTATTGCCTGTACTCTCTGAATGTGATAGCGATTCTGACACTTTTTTAATTTGTTCTTTGAGCAGACTAATGACTTGCACTCTCCAGGACAGTCTGCTCAAAGAACAAATGTTTATCACTGTCTTTATCATTGAGCCAGCCTTCCACTTCAGACAAATTTTTATCAATATCATGTATCATATCGTGTTTCCTATCATATTTCTTATTGTTTTCGACTGTTGACAATGAGAAATTAAAACTGAATCATTAACATTTATTATAAATATATAATTTATGATATTAAGAATTTATAAGTTTTTAATAAAAAAAATCTTGCAGACCAAATAAATAAGTAGTCAAAAAAATTTAAAGAAATTTGTGATGAATAAGAATAAATAATAATTTTTTTAATAAATTAATTGAATAAAAAATGATAATAAATAATAAAATACATATTGCGGTCATAATCACCAAATATCTATGAAAGTAAATAACTTGCTAATATGTAAACAGTTTATACACTGTAATGTAATTATTGTAACATATAGACCCAATGTGTCGTATACGACACGTTGAAAAGTTAGCTCATCTCATAAAATATTGTTATTAATATAGTTTTTAAAAAATTATTTTATATTATCTTAGAAGTCTCCTCAACAAAAATATGTATAAATTGTAAAATTATAATCAATAGAAATAGAGAAAATTAAATACTGACATCAAGCAGTCATACTTATGATCACTTTTAACAACATATGCTCAAACAATCACTTATATTTTCCTTTGTTTCTGTCACAGTGGAATGCATGTGGTCTAATAAGCTTCACTAAACTCTAATGTCAAAATGTATAACTAATATAATTGTTTAGCAAGCAAAAAAGCAGAGCTGCTTCTCATTTTTTGGAAGGAAAATTGCGTGTCATATACGACACAAGGCATCCCAAAAGGTTAAACCGGAAAAATTTCTGTCATTATTACATTAATAACACGAAGAAATCAGTCTCCATTGTACTCGGCTAGAGATGGTTCGGTTAAGCTTTTGTTTAAGTAAAATTTCGGCTCTTTAAGTAAAATTTCGGCGTCGCCAGGTAGCGAAAGGACGTGGCGAGAGACGCAGGAGCAGATGCTGTTGAAGGTAAGTGTACAATCTGGTTTCAAAACGGTTTTCTATTAGCCTAAGTAGTGACGGTCACCTCCAAAGAGGTAGGTCAGGTTCTGGCAACATATCGAAAATCAGAGCAATAATTCCAATTGTACATGTTTGCAATTGTAGCCGCTACTAAAAATGTGCCAGATTCCTAATGATCATCCCAAACCAGTTATTTGGGGTTGTTATTATTATATGTGGAGCGCAATACCCTACTGTTCCTTGCAGAAGAACCAAAAAACATAGATGACTTTTATACTTCATAAATTACAGATTCATTATAAAAAATGCAAATTAAATCTTTCACTAATTTGACTATTAATGACGTCATACTGGAACTGAATAATGCTGAGAATTTCGAAACATATTATTGTTCACTCTTTTCTTCCATTCATTCTCTTTACAGCATAAAACGTTCTAAAAGTCAAATATTATATGAAATTAGCATAAATTGCATACAATATGAGTGATGAACAACACTATACAATTCTGTTTAGATCTTTCCAGAAAACTCCGAAGGAATTTTCAACGTAAATAAAAGATATGAATTTCGAATTTAAATTTGAAAAACATCATTATTTCGATACTTCTAAAGGGAGTCTGGTAGTCTGTCAGTTGTTCGAGTCTTTTTATTTTTTGCAACTCGGGCCAACAGTACAGAGTAACATGTTCAAT